CTCAAAGGTGGCGAATGTATCGCTCTTGCTACCCAAAAAGATAGTCCAACAAAATCTAGAGAAGTCATCCACTATCCCAAAACCATAATAGTTTCCACCTAGGCTTTTAATTCTAGATGGCCCAAATAAGTCCATATGGAGAAGCTCAAGAGGTCTCGTAGTTAAGACAATATTTTTGGATTTAAAAGAGATCCTCGTTTGCTTTCCCATTTGGCAAGCATCACAAAGGTGATCCTTGGTAAATTTTATTTTGGGGAGACCTAAGACTAGATCTTTTGAGACTACTTTATTTAGCAAGTCGAAGTTAACATGTGCTAAACGCCTATGCCATAACCATGAGTCTTCACTCATTGTCATGAGACATTTGTCACTTGTTAAAGATACCTCATTCAAGTCTAGCATATAGACGTTGTTCACTCTTAGGCCATTAAACATATTCTTCTTGTCATCATTATGCACAATTTTGCAACACTCTTTTGAAAAAGATACATTGTATCCTTTGTCACATAATTGGCTAATGCTTAGTAGATTATGTTTGAGACCCTCGACAAGCAACACATCAGAAATAATAGTAGAAGAAGGGTTACCTACACTACCTTTACCAAGTATTGCACCACGATTATTGTCACCATAGGTTACATACCCTTTCTTCTTTGCCGCGAAGTCGATGAATAAGGATATGTCTCCGGACATGTGTCTTGAACATCCACTGTCGAGAACCCATCTTCTCTCGGTGCTCTCAACACATTGTACCTATGAAAAAATAATCAACAAGAGGAGGTACCCAATGGTATATTGGGTCCTAATTTATGAGTGACAAAGTGGTTGCATTTGGGCAACCATTGATAGATGCCTTTAGGAACCAAAAATCTCCTAAATCGGCACTTAGCAATGGAATGGCCTTTCTTGCAACAATATAAGCATGAGAAGTCAACTTTAGAATTGCCTTTGCTCTCTTGATCCCTTATTACATATGTGTATTTTTGATATGGATTCACCACACTTTTTCTAAAATCAGCTTTATCGATAGCAAATGTAATTTTGGGCTTAAGAGCCTTTTTAAGTTTGACCTTTAGGTTTCTAACTTCACCTTGCCAAATATAACAAGTATCACATCCAAAGTTGAGGAATCTGCTTCTAAGATCCTCACAATCCGATTTAGTACTTTCCACCAAGGAAGCCTTAAGTTCCTCAAGTTTCCTTTCGGACTCTTTAATTTTGTGCTCTAGGTAAGTAAAAATTCTTTTGTTAGAGGCAAGTCTCTTAAAGGCTTCTTTTGCTTCATCGTGTAAAGTATTAAATGCGGCTTGTAATTCGAAATGAGACATATTTGAGGAGTTTTCATATTTAGAGTGACGTACCTATTTTTTCTTATTCTTTTGGTGTGCGGAAAGACATAAGTTCACGGATTCTTCTTCATCACTTGAGCTTTCATCATCAGAGGAGGAGTCATTGTCGCTTTCCCAAGCTATATATGCTCTTCTCGGCTTTGATGACTTCTTATGTGATTTAATAGATTCCTTTTCTTTGCCCTTTTTGTTTAAAGGACAATCCGGTTTGTAATGACCGGGCTTTCCGCATTTGTAGCACGATCCTCTGGTTTTACTTCCTTTGGTGTCATTATTTCGAGAGTTCCTTGATTGCTTTCGGAAGTTGACAAGGTTCTTTTCTGAGTGTTGAATGTCGTTCTTTCTCACATACCGATTGTAGCGCTTTACGAATAGCCCCATATCCTCACTCTTGTCATCTTCTTCATCGTCACTTGATGAATAATCATTGTGCTCCTTAGATTGAGACTTCGAGGAGGAAGTCTTGAGAGCAATGGATTTCTTCTCAACAGTCTTTGTTTTGTCCTTCTTTTCTTTCTTTTCATGTTGGTCGAGGCTTAGGAGCACTTGTTCGTGCTCTTGTAGTTTTCCGAATAATGTTGTTAAGTCCAAAATTGTGAGGTCATTTGCTTCTTTGATGGCGGTCACTTTCGGCTGCCATTCCCTGTTAAGACATCTCAAAATTTTGTTAGTAGCAACATCATTGGCCACTGGCCTACCAAGTGAATGCAATCTATTGATAAGATGAGTAAATCTCTTTTGCATGTCCGCAATGGTTTCCCCTTGCTCCATGTAAAAGAGATTAAACTCTTGTGTTAGTGTGTTGATTATAGCAAGCTTCACGTCATTTGTTCCTCATGGGCGACTTGAAGTGAATCCCACATAGCTTTTGCCGTAAGACAATAAGAAACCCGATAATATTCATCAACTCCTAACAAGGAGATCAAAATATTCTTGGCTTTCCAATCATAGTTGTATTTCTTTTCATCATCATCCGTCCATTGTGCTTCGGGCTTAGGCACAATCTCATTATTTTCATTGGTCATGGTTATTTCCATTGGACCATTGATAATAACATTCCACACTTTTCTATCTATGGAATTTATGTGCACCCGCATACAGTCCTTCCAATAACTACAATTTTCTCCATTAAAAACGGGAGCTCTATTATAAGCCCATTTAGGTTCGTTCGCCATTTTCTATCAAAGTTATACTCGAAGCACGGAGTGAACCGGTGCTCCGGATACCACTTGTTAGACGATGGCTTAGATCTAGAAGGGGGTTGAATAGATCCCAATTAAAATCAGTCGGCGCTACCAATTAAAAATTGGTTTTTAAAAATATTTGTTTTCAATTTGCGGAAGCGGCTGCGGAAAAATTACGTCTAAGAACGAACTGTTATTAGAAGACCAGATATGCGTCTAGCCTTATGGAAATGATAATGAGCAAAATTGATTCAACACACTAGTCACACTATCAGTTGATTTTACCACTTATTAGTAGAACTAGCACCAATGATCTATAATGCCCACAAAGTAGGCAAATGAACTAAGTAAACTTTGGTGTAGGCAATTTATCAAACACTTGTTGTGCAATACACTCCAAGTGTGGTTTGGCTTGAGTAAGTTGCTTTAAGTTCCTTTGTGCAATATATTGTTGCACTAAAGTTCAAAACAGTAATAAGTACTTACTCAAATCAACCCAAATTATGATATAACTGCTTATACTAAAATCACTTAAATTTTAAGCCAAAACTGAAAGTGCTGAAAAGTAAAGGAGGCAAAGATTTGTTAAGGCAGTTCCCCCGCCGTCCTCGCTTCGGGGTACGTCTGCCCTCAATTCTAATAATAGAATTGAGATCAATATATTAGATATCACCTTTAATGTAGAAATGTTTATACAAGAATTGATAAACAAAATGTACAATCAAGCCCTCTTGAAGTTGATGATGCTATCGCTTCTTGCTCCTTGATTCGAGTCGAATCAAGTTCTCCAATTGTTGTGAGTAGACCTCCGATTCCAGCCCCTTTGTTGAATAACCTTCCGTTCTTCAAACCCTCGGCTCGGCTGATCTCACGCACAAACAAATCGAACCCGGAACACTCTTGAATACTTCAGTGATTTCTGCTACTAGATTGACGAAGACTACCGCCTCTCAATCACCTTCACTCAGCTGAAGTAGGTAGAGATGATTCGTACCGAAAAACCCCTAAAATCTCCAAATCTAGGAGTGTAAAACCTGCTAGGTTTTATCCAAGAAAAACCTGCCTTCAAAATCAACACGAACCGGATTTCCGATCACGGCTTCAGACCTTATCACCTTGAATAAGATCACAAGCACCCCAAGAATTGTTGTGTGTAATTGTTGTGTTGTGGGTTGTAAAAGATGAAGATTGATGAATTTTGATGGCACCTCTTCCACTTTTCTTGTTTTGTGACAATTGACTCAAATTCACAATTGTTGCTGATAAAAATGAACAAAGTCTCTATATATAGTAACCAATCAATCACCAAACTTAACAGCTTTTCAAACATAGTGGGAAGTCTTCAAAAACAGCACAAACGCGCGAACGGTCGACCATAGCAGGTCTATGCGTCAACGCATAGCATGCATATTGGGGTAAATTTAAAAGGGCAGCAGTGTGCGTCGACCATAGGTCGGCGTGCGCTGACCCGTGAGAAAAACAAAAGCTTCATGCGTCGACCTTGCGTCGACTCATAGCCTTCATGCGCTGACTCGTGAGAAAAACACAGATACATGCAATAATAAAAAACGACATCGTTTTAATTTTTATTTTTATTTTTATTTTTTTCAATAATAAAAAACGACATCGTTTTAATTTTTAAAAAAACACTTAAATCGTCGATTTTCTAAAATGGTAAGTTTTCGATTTTTATCGGTTTACATCAGTTTCTACCCGTTCTCATCAATGCAATTATATAAGCGATCCAACAATTGAATTAGATCAATTACCACTCTGATTCTCGATTCAACCGGTCCGATCTAACTTATCGGTTCAGTATAAAACTATTTATAAATATTTTTAAACTTTAAAATTGTTTTTGTATGCAAATATGATATAAAGAAGCAAAATGACAAGAATATATCAACTAAATTTCTCTTTTAGTATAAAGATTTCAACTTAAATATAGAATATGATACAGATAATATTGTATATGTTATTCACATGCACATCAAATAGGCCTAATGTTTTTCGTAAGAGTATCTCCAACTTCGATGTGGATTGTTGAACCAATAGAAATTTGACAACAGTAAACCATAGGGTACATGATGTATGGATATCATATCATATCATCAACACTAACATTTTCCCAATTTTTTTATTTATAAGAATCCAAAATAAATAAATAAAATTAAACAAAAGATGATCCACTCCGAACTGTAGTTGACATCTGGTGTCTAGTGGCCACACGAGCTTTACCACTAACCCTTATGGCTACGTCCATATGCAATTCATTACAATGCTTTGTTCTCTCCACTTTCTCTTCTCCACGGTAAGCCATAATCTCTGCATAAATTATTGGTTACTCTCATAATTACGGTTCCATTTTGTTATTAACTGTATAAAGTTTACAATTTTTTAGGAATATTCTGTGACCCAGATGGTGTTTTGAGTCCTTTTTGGATTTTTTAGGGTTTTATAGTTTCATATGATAAGTATGGATACTTTGCTCAAAACACCAAATAAGCTTCAATTTTTGCATCCACTTCATGGCTATTCTGAAAAATTGGCTTCTTTTAAGTTGCAAAACCACGAAGTTAGATTTGGTTTCAAGAAAAAACCTATTTTGAGGGCTAGTAGCAGTGCCCTTTTGGAGCTTGTTCCTGAATTTAAGAAAGAGAATTTGGATTTTGAACTTCCTTTGTTTGATTCAACAAAGGGAACTGTTGTGGATCTTGCTGTTGTTGGAGGTGGTCCTGCGGGGCTTGCGGTAGCACAGCAGGTTTCGGAAGCTGGGCTTTCAGTTTGTGCTATTGATCCGAATCCTAGATTGATTTGGCCGAATAATTATGGTGTTTGGGTGGATGAGTTTGAAGCGATGGATTTACTTGATTGCCTTGATAAGACTTGGTCTGGTGCGGTTGTTTATATCGATAATAAAACTAAGAAGGATTTGGATAGACCTTACGGTAGGGTTAATAGGAAGCTTTTGAAATCGAAGATGTTACAGAAATGTATATCGAATGGTGTGAAGTTTCACCAAGCGAAAGTTGTGAAGGTTGTTCATGAGGAATCTAAATCGTTGCTGATTTGTAACGACGGTGTCACGGTTCAGGCTACTGTGGTTCTTGATGCTACTGGCTTTTCAAGATGTCTTGTACAGTACGATAAACCGTATAATCCAGGCTACCAAGTTGCGTACGGAATTTTGGCTGAGGTTGATGAACATCCGTTTGATGTTGATAAAATGCTTTTTATGGACTGGAGAGATTCGCATTTGGATGGTAACATGGAGCTCAAGGAGAGAAATAGTAAAATACCTACCTTTTTATACGCAATGCCCTTTTCGTCCACAAAGATATTTCTCGAAGAAACATCTCTTGTTGCGCGGCCTGGGTTAAGGATGGAAGATATACAAGAAAGAATGGTTGCTAGGTTGAAACACTTGGGTATCAATGTGAAAAGCATTGAAGAAGATGAACATTGTGTGATTCCCATGGGCGGTCCTCTCCCGGTTCTCCCTCAAAGAGTTGTTGGAATTGGCGGTACGGCCGGGATGGTGCATCCTTCAACTGGTTACATGGTAGCAAAGACCCTTGCTGCAGCTCCTATTGTTGCCAATGCTATTGTTCAGTATCTTGGTTCTGATAGAGGTCTTTTAGGAAACGAAGTATCTGCGCAAGTATGGAAAGACTTATGGCCGATCCAAAAGAGACGACAAAGGGAGTTCTTCTGTTTTGGTATGGACATCTTACTCAAGCTTGATTTACCGGGAACAAGGAGATTTTTCGATGCGTTTTTTAATCTGGAACCTCATTATTGGCATGGATTCTTATCCTCGAGACTGTATCTTCCTGAGCTGTTTCTTTTTGGACTGTCTCTATTTTCTTATGCTTCAAATACATCTAGGGTAGAGATTATGGCAAAGGGAACTCTTCCTTTAGTAAATATGGTCAACAACTTGATAAAAGATAAAGAATAAGATTACTTTCTGTTGTATGCTACATATGCTATGCGTGCTTCCACTTGTATTCATTCTACTTGTAGTTTACTGCTGATGATATTATAGATTTCCATTAAGTATATTGTTTGATTGGTTAAATTCCAACTATTATTGGCGAGCTATGTAGCATTGACATTTCTGAAAAAAGATGTATCTATGTCGGACACCTACACTAACACTTGTAATTAAGTTTAATTTATTTATTTCTTAAATTATTACCGGCGTCATGTCGGACACCTGCACTTACACTTATAATTAAGTTTAATTTATTGATTTCTTAAATTATTACCGGCGGCATTGTGTCGAGGTCGAGATTGGGGTGTCCGTTCTTCTTAGTTGGCTAGTAATGGCTAGTAATTGTTGGTTAATTTCTATGATGTCAAAGAATCACACTCTTTTGTTTCATTTAGAGAGTGCTTGGGGGAAATCTGACTGAAGATGAGGTTTTTCAAATTCAGCATTACAAGTTTTCTTATCCATCTCATCTAAATCTTATGAAGTTGCTCTTGGATGTTGACAAATGATAATGCATTTCGACTATTAAATTAAAAGTTATTTGTATGTATAAATATGTTTCCGTGAACTATAATAGTAATCATTCAAATGCTCCTTAATGTGGGATTGCCAAGATTTAGTTTGATCACTATATTTTAGGATATATGTTCCAAATGGTGATCCAGCTAGTTAGTTGTATTTCTTTGATATTTAACTAGTTAAAAACATGTTCAATGTGGAGTATTTGGATTCTTATATACAATAGCAAAGTTTTAAATAAAATTTAATACAATGTTCAAATTTTGAATAAATATTTTTTTTATCAATTTTTTATTTATATTTAAGATTAGAGTAGTATGTGTTTAAGAGATACTTATAAATGTATTCATGTTCATGGGATATTTATAGTCCTGTACATATGTAAGTCAGTAATTTCTCTAGTTGGTGAAAAGTCAATAAAATTTGTAATAGTTACGTTGAAAATGTTAAGTGTCAGAATTTTAACTAAAAGCTTTGACTTATTAATTATGTTAACTAAGTGGTTAGATTAATTTGTTAGATGAGTCAAGTCAAAGAATATTTTAGATGAGTCTTAGGTACAGATCCATAAGATTAGGATCATCCTCTCTTCTAAACATATTCAAAATCTTGAAAAGGATTTAAAATATCAGACATTCGACCAATGTCGTAGTTGACACGTCTATCAAGTGTTCGAGACTTAGGATATTCTTAAATCCAAAGGCTATGTGATATGAAGACATCTTAGCATCATGGGGATGGATCAAGGGCTCTCGACAGAGGCAATTAAGGTGTTCAAAAGCAGTTATCAATGTCGTGGTTGGTATATCAACAGTTTTGTCCTTGAAGATGCGTGGAAGCAAGTTAGGTCAAAATTGTCTAAGTAGTGGGAAACATGTCAGATCATTAGGATCTATCAATTATAGACGGTGACTACTTGTATTAGTATATAAGATAGACTCAATGTACGAGTTAGAGATCGCAAAACTCTCATTGTTTCTCTATAAAACTAAATACCCAAGCAAAAGAGCGAAACAATTTGTGAGAATTGTGAGTCTATGTCCATTTTTTAAACTTTCTGCAAATCCTTTGTATTCAAAGCATTTACGTTAAATGTGATTTACTTCATTTACTTTGTTTGGTGTTTATTATCTTTATCCAAAGTTTATTGTTTGCATCCATTTGATTATTATTCAAACGTTTTAAACCCAAAATCACACACAATTTGTATTTTTTTTCTTTACGCAAATTGCTTTGAGATTTTTCGAGTTAATCTCTTAAGTGAACTAAACTTGTAATTATTTAGCAAAAACACTATTAAACAAATTGGCACACCCAATGGGACCCTTTTATGCAAGATTTTTTAAAACTTTTGCAGAAAAGTGTTGCGTTTTATATAGTTTATTCGTGTTTTCATATGAAATGTCTTCATTTGTTAATTGTTTATGCTTTTGAGGAGTGGTAAGAAACTTCCAGAGATGACTCGTCCAACTAAGAACTCATTTCTCCCTCAGAGCAATGCTCCCAACATAGAAGAACAATTGATAGATTCGACGGTTGGCAATGTAGGAAGTTCAACCATAGTTGAAGAAAACCCTACGGTTATAAGCCAGATAATAGCGCTGATTGTATCACCAGAAATAGTGGTATCTTACCACTAGTAATAAATGTTCCCACCACCCCTAGGGCTACACCAAGTATGGTAGGGGACCAAAGGCCTTCTTTTCCTTTGAATTTTACATTATCCTCAGGTGGTAGGGAACAACCTTATGGTATGCCAATTGTTATGATGACAAGCCTGCACCCTCGTGCATCTACGTATGCACATAATCCAATGGTTATTTCATCCCCTATTAACTCGTACTTAGCATCAGGGTCTGCTGTTATCAACCTTGGTCGAATTGCACAACCTCCGGGAGGGTTAGGCTATATTCTTCCAAGTATGGCATCCTTAATCAATAATTCTCTCCAATCTGTAAGACAAAAAATAGATGAGAGTAATCACGAAACGATTAACATGCTTACACACCAAATAGGCACAATGTTCAATCCTCTGATTCAGAACATTAATCACAGTTACCAACAATTAGCACAAAAAGGGGTGAATCGTTGACTTTTTGGTGCTCATCAGGCACCTGTTTAGCCATTTCCTGATATTTAAATTCCACAGCAACTTATGCCTTTCGAACAACCCGTACCCAGGATAGTCAAAGGTAACGCATGTTGTAACACCCCCTTTCTATACCCCACAAATAAACAATTAAATCATTTAGGCACATAATAAAAATTTTACATCATAGTATAAATTAACGCATGGTATAAAAGAGGTACGTCACATTATCCAGGAAATTCAAAACGCATACAACACCTGCTCACAAAGATATGCAACAAAGGGTAAATAACCACAAAGGAACTTAGTCCTTAAAACCCACGCATCAATATTTAGAATAAAAGCGGAAACATCTAAACATTGAATCACTTCATTCATATAAACATTGTATACATCAATAGTTTAATTCAAGTCATAAATCATGTTTACAAAATATTTCGGCAGATACATACACAGATGTATCACAAAAGAACCAAAAGAATTGCTAACTACCCGGTGCTACATATCAGAGTAAACCGACCAAAAAGAACGAAGCTACGCTTCACAAAAGACCTCCAGCAAAACCTACTCTGCAATGCCTCATAGAGCATCATAAAATAGCAGAAGGGTGAGAAACATTATCATAACAAACAATGCATATAATATATATATATATATATATATATATATATATATATATATATATATATATATATATATATATATATATATATATATATATATATATATATATATATATATATATATATATATATATATATATATATATATATATATATACACCAACTTGGAATACACATACCACATTTCTCACCGCAATACATCACAATTCAATCATATACAATTCACCAAAGATATCCACCACACAAACATTCACCACTAAACATATACAAGTATGTTCATTACACCGACATATCATATGAAGATAATAATACACTCATAGAGACCGACTCACGACTCTATGCAGATGCAAATCGCTCGTTACCGAAGTAACTCCCCGTCGGGCCTACGATGTTCACCCATCGCTCACACCCCACATGGGCACACGATGTTTCAGGATTGTTCACACCCCATAAGGGCACACAATCGTTCTGCAGATTCTCCACGGAATCAAAATAAACTATCGCTCACACCCCACAAGGGCACACGATGTTTCTGCAGATCCTCCTAAGGATCAAAGACAAACCATCACTCATACCCCACAAAGGGCACACGAGGTTTCTGCAGATCCTACGCGGGATCAGACACATAAGAATGCAATCATGATGCTTCATAAACAAAACGAATCCATACATTCTTGAAATGCATACATATACACAAATATATAATCATGCATTTTCACTCCATTCAAACAATTGCACAAAATTGCCAAACGGCCACATTTCACACTTCACGATTCACAGTCTAGGATTCACGCCATACGGCTACCAACAATATTTCATATCACACATACAACTATGCATAATAAGAAAGGATTAATCATACTTGAATCGAAGAATCAACATGGAAGTGAAAACACAAGAAAATAACATCCTGCTACGCTCGCTACCCTGCTCGTCTAGCGAACTCCTAGCGAGTACTCGTTTCCTGTTCGCCTAGAGAACAAGCTCGCGAAGGCAAACAGAAGCCACTGACTTGATTCGCTACCCCACTCGCCCCAGCGAATGCTCGCTGCCCCATTCGCTACCAGCGAAGAAAACCCAAAACCATTCTGCCCAAGTTTGGGACCGTTCGCTACTGGCTCGCCACAGCGAATGCTCGCGACCTGCTCGCCTAGCGAACGTGCTAGTGAGGTTCTGCGAACTCAGAATCCCTACTGTCCAAAAACTCTGAAACTCATCAAAATCTACCCGATTCAATCCCAACTCGTCTCAGCAGCTTAGTCCAACATCCCTCGACTAAATTCTACCACTTATACTCATTTCTAACCGTAAAATATCGGTTCTACTGATTAAATCAAATTCAATCTAAAACGGAAAATGAGCAAAACTCTCCCCAATCCAAAAGCAAACCAATAGAAACATACATAATCATACACATCGAAAGAATAATAAAGTTTCACACCCTTACCTGATTAATCGAAGCTTAGAAGTTTGATTCTTGATGATTCTAGGTTTTCTCCTCTTCCTCCTATTTTATCTTCTCTTCTTCTTCTTTCCTTTCTATCTCTTTCTATCTCTTTTCTTTTCTCTCTATTTTCACTTATATTCTTTCTATTCTATTTCTCTCAAATGTCTACCAATCAAGGATTATCTAAAACACCCTCTAATTAATTCCCAAAACTCTCCGAATAATAAAATAACATAATAAGCACACATAACATATTAATGTTCAAATTCCACAATTAAAAGAATAA